TCTTCTGTTTCTTCACACAGGGTTCTCTGTAGAAGATATGGAGACAGTAGATAGTAGATAGTCAGCTCCAGGAATGTCAACTGGATATGAGCCTCAAGGTAAAGAGGCTATGACTTCCCATGGCCCAAAAGTTTATGTATCAGAAACTGAAGCAACGGCCTCCAAAAACAATACAGGTAGCAATCAGTTGCTACCTTAATTGAATTATGCAAATTGATCCTTCAGCATATCGTTATCCCTGCATTTTGCAGACATGCTTTTCTCCCTCCCTGGCCAGCCACTCAAGTTATGTAATTCCTGCCATCCTCACGGTCACTCTTCCTGAGCCACCCTCCTCCGTCACAAGACAATAAATCCTGGGAGAGGCCTAGGATCTAAGCCTTTGTCTGCACATCCTCACAGAGATTGGATTTGGGACCCCTTACAATACCGTAGCACTGTCAAACCAAGCAAAAACAAAAGTAAAATCCACTCCTACAAAATATTAGAGAGTGGCGATTTCACTTATGAGCTGATCCCAAAGCCCTGGAAGGAGTTTTGTGGTTTCTCTTTTCTACCTGTCTGAACAGTCCCATTCTGGCTACTGCACTTGTGTTTGGAAGGTTTCATGATATTGCTGTTTTTAACATAATAAAGCAACCAATTGTTTTATGCATTTTTCAATTTATACATATAACAAGACATATAACAAGGTATTAAAATAAAAATTTTGTCACATCTGGAATATAACAGAGGTCATATTCCAAATGAGGTACCAGGATATAAGAAAAATCACACAGGAAACTAATTTTGTGGCTCTTGGGCTTTTTTTTTTTAACCTCCATTGACTCTTGGCCTCTTCCTTAATGATGATAAAATAGCTGGGAGTTTAAAGATAAATAAAGAGGATTCCTGAAGTCTTTGGTTTGTTTGTTTTGTTTCCTAAGTACTGGTGACTGAACCTAGGCCTTTACACTGAGCTGTGTCTCTAGCCCTTTTTAAATTTTATTCTTTTTATTTTGAGACAGGTCTCACTTAGTTCCCCAGGCTGGCTTCAAACATGAGGCTCCAGTGCCTCAGTCTCTCTAGTAACAGGAGTCACTGTACCTGCCTGGTTATAAAGAAAGAGAATTTCTGGACAAAGGTCTGGTTGTATTGTATAGATGAGAAGAGACAATAGTGCCACCATTGGAAAATTAGGGACAGGACTTCAACTGTCCTCTGAGCATAGTAATTACACATTCCTTCTAACTGAGATGCACACAGGCATCTGACTACCAACCTAGACACCCCCAGAGCTAGTAATGTGCTGACTACAGTTTTGACTGGGGAATGAAAGGAAGGTCAGAGGAAGAGGCTACGGCAGCTTCTGCTCCTCAAATTTGTCCTGAAAGGGGAGGTATCAATGCGGGTCCAAGAAAGGATGAAAAGTGAGGGGTTATCTTAGCTCTGCTTATGAGGGCTGTATGGACGGACAGACAGACCTCAGAGAAAAGCTTGCATTATCTGCAGAGTCAGCTAAGGAAGGAGACAGTGAGTAGCTGGGGCAGAAAGAAGTTGTCCTATGAAAGAAACCATGAGGATGAGACCCTCAGTAGGAGGGAGGAACACCACAAAGACCTGTGAGAGTTGACTTTCAAATCTACGCGTCCAGAAAGAAGAGGTGCTAAGCAGCCATGCTGGGTCCTGCTAAGGAAAAATCTTTGCCTCAATTCTAGAACTACCACTCTGAAAAAATTGTAATTTATGAGGAGAAATGTTAGCCACTAACCATGTGTCCCCTTTCCCAGACCTTTTTCTCTCTACCTTTCAAGAATCCCCATCTTGGAGACGGCACAGAAGCTAAAATTTTAACACGAAAAAGTTATGAGACTATATTAAGCCATTTTCCATGGCTGTAAGAAATTCCTAGGCCTGGATACTGTACGTGGAAAACAGATTTACTTAGCTCACAGTTTGGGAAACTAAAGGCCCAAATAGCACAGCACAGTTCTGGCAAGGCCTCCCTCAGCTACATCATGACAGAGAACATCATGGGAGCACAGCAGAGGAAGAGGTCACACGGGAGATGGAAATCAGGGCACGAGGTGAGCCTGTTCCCCAACTGGGCCCCACCTCTTCAAGGTCTCGAGCTTCTCAACACTGCCACCCTGAGCACCAGACTCCAACACAAACACTTCTAGGGAACAAGGGCTGAACAGCTTAATCACGGAATCCACCCTGTGTGATTTAAGTGACTGGCAGGTTGTTGGTATTGCCAAATGTGGCCCAAAAGTCATGGGACATGCTCTAACTTTCCTGTGGAGCAGAGGAAGAGCTTAGACCCTTGAACAGATGAGAAAAGATCATGGGAAACCAAAACACATTTTGCTTTTTGATCATCCTCATGAGTCATGTTTGCTCAGCATAATGAACATCCACATTTCCGACATGGAGAGGTTTTCTAGTGCCCAGGGAACAGTGAGCTGTGCTTTATGACTCAGAGTCCCAGGAGACTTCACCAGCAAGGTAAGAACAACTCTATAAAGAGGCCAGTGCCCACAGCCACCAGGGACCCACGGTGGAAAGGTCTCCATTGTTCTCTGTCCAGTTAAAGGAACATCTTGACCTGAAATTGAAATGGTAACATTCATTCTGCCCTCATTGCATAAGACCCCAGAAATCTTAGGCAAACCTGCCTAAGAATCCACTGGATACACCCCAGAGAGGGCCTGACGATGAGTCTATGCGGAGCCTCAATCCCCTGGCAGGGAGAAACTGCAAAATGACCGTGAAGACTGCGGTAAACAAAAAACGTTTCGGGAGCCCCCAACTCACTGTCTCTCCGCCCCAGACTCACTCTCTCTTCTTGGCTTTGTGACACGGGAGCTGGGACTCTGCCAACCACAGGTCTGCCTTGCCAGCTGGCTCCGTGCTAGGCCCTTCCAAAGGGAGTCACAGGAGGGAAGGCACGGCTGGGAGAGAAGAAAGGGCTCATTCCTTCCTGCCTGCTCCCTGTGGGGCTTCTGTTCCCACCCTGTCGCTTTCGGATGACACAGGGTCCTCACGGGCCCCTTTCCAGCCCAGAGGCACCAACCCAGCCAAGCAGCGCCTCTGGCTTCTTCGTCTTAGCTTCTAGTTTTTTAAGTTTTAACAATTCCCCTCCTTCCCATACCCAGCCCGACTACTCTATTATTACCTTAGTGTCTCTCGGTGCTGCTTTGGTTACCCAGCTAACAACTTTACTCTTACTTAATGCTTCTATTACCCTGTTCAAATAACCGCTGATGTTTTCCGCCTCCTGACCTGTGACTGACTGAGTTTTTCTTAATGAAAACAGAAGGGAAGTTCTCAGAGAACTGCTTGGTGCTAAGAATCAATGAGGCCTCTCAGAAAAGAGTCTACAGTAGTTTTTCTTTCTTTGTAAGCTACATCCCTACCCCTTTATTTTGTTTTATTTTGAGACAGGCTCTCATGGAGGTGCTCTGAGTAGGGTCAAATCTGCAGTCCTCCTGTCTCAGCCTCCTGAGTAACTTGGATTACAGGGGCACACCGACCACTTAGGGTTTTATTTTTCTTTTTTGTTTGTTTTTACAGTGTTTTACACCAGGTCTTGGCCACGTTAAGCAAGTCCTTGGCCACTGAACTACACTCCCAGTCCAGAAAGCAGTTTCTTTCCCTTTCCCTTTTGAAAGGTAAATAAACCAAGCCTTGAGGCAGATGACTGCCAGGCTTTCTCTCTAGGACGGTAAGTATCCTTTAGGGCACTGCACTCTTCCAATCCTTACATGCACTGTCACACAGAGTTATCTGGGGCAGTAGACCCCATAGTCTCCATTCTGGGAGAAATGTTCTGCTTGGCTCTGGGCGGCGGCTGCCCAAGCCTAAGGAGAACTGCACCAAATGTCCGGGTTTGCCAAGGAGCTAGCCTAGGCTTTTAAACTCCTTAAATTTGAGATAAATAGCCTAACTCTGAAGCTGCCAAGCATCCTAGACTTGCAGTTGCTCTCGCATCTGAAGCCTTAAAATGTGTTTTCTCATTCAGCGAGGTAGGTTTTACTTTCGCGGTCGTCGCCAAAAAAAATGAGGCTTCCCTAGCGTCAGCCCGGGTCCCCAGTCTCTGCCCCACGCAGGATTCCGCTTGACCCAGCCAAGCTCCAGCCTTCCTTCGGCCCTCGCGCGGCCTAGACTGTAGTCCACCTGCAGAGAGAAGCGAGGTGCCCTCTCCTGGTCAGCGCTGTAACTGCGTGTCCATTTCTAGCAAGCAATCTTTGCAGTATGAATTCTAAGAAAGCCAAGCTTTTCTTTGCAGTTAGAGATCCCCCGTGTGTCCCTTGGGAGAGTATGCCATAGTCCATTAGAAAGAAGGCCACAGGGTTTAGGAAAAGATACTCCATCTGGGTCTCAGCTTTTCCATCTCTAAGACAAGATTTATTTGCATGATGAGGAATCTCCAGCAGTTTTAAAAACCAGTGCCAGTGCCTGGCAAGCACGAGGTCGTGAGTCCAATTTCCAGTAACAAAACAAAACGAACAAAAAACACAATGCCAGGGAATGAACAAAAATTCTCTTCCTCTGTATGCACAGAGTTAAACAACCACCTCAGGTCCCCATGCAGCCATGTGTATCTGTTTTCTGGTTGAATATTGACCTCATAAGTTATTAGATATTGCTCAAAATATAGACTTTTAAGAAAGAAACTGGGCATGATGGCGCACACCTGTAATCCCAGCACTCAGGAGGCTGAAACAGGAGGATTCATGAGTGTACTGCCAGCAGGAACTACACAGTGAGACCCTGTCTCGAAAGATGAAAGAAAGAGAGAGACAGAGAGAGAAAGGAAGGAAGGAAAGAAGGAAAGATTTTTTTTTTTTTTGATAGGTTCACAACAGCTTTGGTGACTCATTCACGCAATACATTTTTATTGAATGCTTGCTACGTGCCAGGCATTTTGGAGGCACTCAGGAGACAGCAATAAACAAAACAGACACAAATTCTCTCCTTGTGGAACTGCCTCTCTGGTGGAAGAGATGGATGATGAATAAAATATGTAGGTGTCAGCTGAAAGAAGATTCAGCTTTGTTTCTTAGATAGGAAAAAATTACAGCATGCTTGTCTACCGATGGAGATGATGGAGGAAGAGGGGGAAATGATTACACAGGCGAGCAGAGAGGAACCCGGCAGAATGATGCGTGGAGGCGGCGAGAAGTCACAGCGCCTGCGCACAGTGCACGAGAAGGGGAGGCTGGGAGGGTGGTGGAGCCCCCGCCGGGGTCAGACCAATTAAGAGGATGGCCAACGTCCCTGCCCTCCTGCACAACCCTTCTGATTAGGGAAATGGACAAGCAGAAGGTAAACTCATGAAGTGGCTGAGGACGTGTGCTACGGCAGGATCCCAGTGGTGATGGTTTCTAAATATAACCAAGAGCTGCCATTGTGAAAAGCCTGAAGGAAGAGGATTCCAAGCGGCAGAGCAGCAGGTTCAAGGTTCTGAGTGGGGAGAGAGTCTGGCTCCTCTGTACAGGGTAAGGCTCAAAGAGGGTGGAGCATCAATGGCTATAGTCACTGATCATTAATGGCTGCTTTTTTTTTTTTTTTTTTTTGTACCAAGAAATCAAATTCTGGACCTCACACTTGCCAGGTAGGTGCTGTGCCACTGAGCTAAATCCCTGGCCCTGGCTTTATTTATTTATTTATAGCCAAGAAATTTTATGGGCAAATTTGTAGATAACTCAAGGCTAGGAAGGACAGCGTGACACTGAAAACATTCCCACAGATGGTATGTAACCAATCTCAATGTCATGTTTTGCACTGAGGGCAAACAAATCAATTGCAAGAGGACAGGAAAAGGAAATCAAATACATCACCAGTTTTTATGGCAAGAGTTTTGGATTCTTCAGAGAGAGGAGTGTAAGATGGAGCCTAAGACAGCAGAAAAGCAAATTCCTAAGTTAGGCCGTGGTAGTCATGCCTTGGGATGTGGGCTGTGCCAGCCCTTCCTGAAGAGGAAATACAGACAGAGCGGGAGGGGAAGGGGCGAGGAAAAGGAGAGAGGGGAGGGGAAAATGAGGGGAAAAACGCAGAGCTCTGTGCTGAGGCAGCCCTGATCCAGCCCAGGGAGAGAACTCAGGTGGAATTTCTCCACTGCATCGTAGCTCACTGGCCAGAGGTGCTCCTGGTGGTGGTCCAAGTCTCTCACATACGTGTACCAAGCTGGCTACCACGATGGTGTCACCCGCTGTGTCATACAGAGACCCAAGGTGGACAGCAAAGGGCAGGAACTTGAGGCATGTGTGCTCAGCTACCCCTATGGGAACTGGTTGGTACCCACAGAACTGAGCACAGCTGGAAGAAGAGATGGGATCCCTCAAAATTTAGGAATGATTCCCAAGAGGCACCCGTTACACATATGGTGAGAAGTGACAATTTCTCTTCCTTTGGCATTTTATCCCAAAGGGGTTTTAATTTTTCCTTTTTGGACATGTTCGTAACAGTCTCATTGGCAATTCTTTCATGAATCTGGGCCCTCGAAGTGAAAAGACCCCCAAAAAATGCTGGCCCAGAAACCAAAATAAACCCTTTTTAAAAATTTCTCTAACTCAACAAAGGAATCTTTATTTACTGTTACCTAGAGCTGGGCATGTTGGTACGCACCTGTGATACATGTGCTCTGGGAGGCCGAAGCAGGAAGGAGGGTAGCAATTTTTTTTACTTTTTTTTTTTTTTTCTTTTTCTTTTTTTATTGGTACCGGGGATCGAACTCACGACTGCCTGCTTGCAAGGCAGGCACTTATGCCGCTGAGCTAAATCCCTAGCCCCGAGGGTAGCAATTTTGAGCCCAGACTGATAAAATTAGCAAGACTCTGTCCATATTTTTTTGAAGAGTGGATTTGGAGGGGGGCTCTAGGGATATAGCTTGGTGCACGGGACCTGGATTCAATCCCCAGTATTGAAAAAAACATTATCCAAAATTCTGAATCTTCAAAAATGCTGCATTTATATAAACTATTTCCTCCTATGAGACCCATGGCTATCATGGTAGAAAAAGAGTGGAAGATGAGAAAAGCTGCCTTTCTCAGGCCTGCCAAAGACTGCCTAGTTAAGATTTTGACTCCAAATGAGGTTACACTTAGAAGTCTCAGAGTTACACTACCAATAATGAAAGATGATGAATAAGAACTTGCATCCTGTCACCAGACCAGGCGGCATGTGGTGCAGTATAAATAAATGTCTCTCTAAAGTCCTGTCACTCACCAAGCAGGCATAGTATGCTGGTAATCTTAGCATTCCAGATGCTGAGGCAGGAAAATACCATGTTTTAGGCTACATAACAAAATTGTATCCAAAAAAAAAAAAAAGTACTATCATTATCCTGTGGGCAGCTCAGTGCCTTGAGGGTACCAATTTATGCACTATATCATTTCAAAATTATTTACTATTGTTCTGTTTTGGTCTTTTTCTCCATCTCCCCGCCCCATTTTCTCACTCATACCAGGATCCTCCAAAAGACAGAGTGCCAGCTGTATTTCTTAACTCTCAGATTCCCTGCTGATCCCTTCCAACCTGCACTAAGCTGCTCCATGCTTCAAGGCCAGTGTGCCACTGCTCGGGGACCCTGGCTGCCTCACATAGTGACAATATGCTCCTTCTCTTTGCCTTTTCTTATGTAGCAAAGACGCATCTGGTAGCTGCCCACACTTCCTGACCAGTCAGGTGACTGCAGTCTGTCCCCATAGGACTCCTGGCCTGGCTCCCAGGTCCCTCCCTGACCTGAGCACAGGAGTGGCACCCTGGAGCACTGCCCTGGGTTGCTTGAGCCCCAGCATGTGACAACGTGTGCAGTGCTAGTACATCTCTGCCCCGGCCTCCCCCATAAACTTAGGTCTTCTCTGAGGAGAAATCAGTCCCCCCTGTAATCATTCTCTGGGGTGGTCTGAGGGATGATTGATAGGCCTAGTTGTATTTTTATTAGCAGTGTAAATTAAGTAAGTCAAATCAATAAACTTTATAGGTCTCCCCAGACTGCTCCAGAGGCAAGACCCAGAAGCTTTTGCCTCAGCAGATTTAGACCCCCTGCTACATAAAAAGCAGTAGTCACCTGGAGAAACCATTTGATTTCTTTCTGAGAGACCCTCTTAGTGCCCCTGAGCCTGTCATGACTTAAATCAATAATATTAACAGCTTCCAAGAAGAAAGAAGTTGCCTTTGCAGAGTCTTCCAGGCCTACGACAATTCTAGATGCCCCAACTGAACCAAGCAGTGTGGTAAGGATCAAACGAGGAGGTTGAGGCAGATTGAAACTTTTGACTCCAAATGAGGTTAAAAGGAGCATCCCTGGGCTCCGGTGCCCGCAGGCCGGGGAAGTCCAGCCTCTCCTCCCAGTCCCACGCCCTTTCATCCTGCACATTGGTCCCAGGTTTCTCCTCACCCGACTCCCACAACCCTCCTCCTGCTTGTGTCCCTGACCTCCAGGGCCCTGCAGGACTAGACGGACTAATGAGGCTTTCTGGTCATTGTGAGGTAGACGCAGTGGTTCCCGTGGTGGTGAAATTGTGCACGTGCAAGAACACGCAGGAAGCAGGGTAGAAATTACAGCAGGAGCAATAAATACCTCACTGGAGTGACTCCAATATGACGAGTGTGGGAAGGGCTGTCCAATTTGGGCCACTTTCAAATTATTTCTCAAAGAAAGTCACCCTCTCCAGGTCAGATGTGGTGGTGGGTCCCTGTAATCCTAGCACTTTGGAAGGATGAGATCAATGAATCACAAATCGAGGCCAGTCTGGGAAATCCTGTGACATCCTGTCTCTAAAAATATAAAAATAAAGGTTTGAAGATGTAGCTCACTGTGAAGGCCCAGCCCTACAAAATAAATAAACTAGACATGGGGGTGCATGCCTGTAATTTCAGCATTTGGAAGGCCGAAGCAGGAGGATCACTGCAAATTCAAGGCCAGCCTGGACAATACAGTAAAACCCTGTCTTGGACCCCCCCATTATATATGTATGCATGTATGTATATATATGAGAAAAATAATAGATTGGTATATTTTAATTATAATACTTTTATAACTGAAACAATATATCTCACTGTAACATACTAAATATCAGTTTCTGGTTTTGAGGCTTCACCTCTACAAATGTATCAATGACTTCATCAAAACTGATATTCACAGATTCATGATCAACTCTTTACTCACAGTTACTCACTTCAATTTAGAAAATTTTATTTTATATGAATCAGCAAGTTTATAAATAGAAAGCCCTAAACCTAAGGATAGATTTGTTGGAGATTCATAAAAATCCCATTTTACAATTAATTTCAAATGTTGCAAGACTCTTCATATATTTGTTTCTTTTAGATGGATTATAACTGCTTCCAAATATTTTAGCAGTTCAAAACAATTCTTCTAAACAGTTTCACTAGAAAATTCACCATAAACTTCTATTATACTTGGTAAACTTATAGTTTTTGTTTTAGTTTTGCAACAGAATCTCACTAAGTTGCTCAAATTGGCCTGCAATTTGTGATCTCTTGCCTCAGCCCCCAGAATGCTGGAGTTAAACGTGTGGACCACCACGTTTGCTTTCTGAAGTTTTGCTTCTGTAAGAATCAGAGAAAGTGGCCGAGTGTCAGCAAATATTGGCATAATTGAGTTTGTTAATATAGAACAAGCATCCCATTCTTGATTAAAACAAGCAAGGCATTTAAACACTGCTCTTTTGAATTCTGGAAGTAGCCACATGGAACAACAGAAATTGAAACAAACTGAGATTCTGCTTCTTTGTGTTAGAATCATGCCGTGGTATTGTTTATTTTCAATCTATTGTGTAAACCTGGTTCCACAGGATTTAGGCTCCACAGTTTCTAATCTTCAGGTTCTAACTCTGGATACAAAGGCTTTTTGGGGAAACCACTCGAGTCAAAAGATAAATCTCCAAATTAATCTCCTGTAGGGAACAACATTTACTAGCAGATAAATTACTTAAATGCATTAATTTGAAATGTACAGCTGGGCATGATGGCACACGCCTGTAATCCCAGCACTTGGGAGACTCAGGCAAGAGGATCCCTGTGAGTTCAAGGTCGCCTGAACTACATAGGGAGACCCTCTGTCTCTCTCTGTCTCTCTGTCTCTCTGCCTCTCTGTCTCTCTGTCTCTCTCTCTCTCACACACACACACACACACAGAACTAAAAAAGAAACACATATGGGTGTTTTAAAACTTGACAATAGCTTAACAATTACTGAGAATTTAATCCAAAGATTTTTTTTCCCAAAGAGAAATACTTTGATCAGAATTACAAACAATTGGTGTTCATAAAAAACAGACTGAATTTTAGTTTATGATTGTTTTTAGATTTGCTGCAATGTCCCCAGTATGGAGCCCAGTTGTCACCCTGCCACGAGCACCCAGGGCTTCAGATGAGCAGCAAGGCAAGTGCTGTCGGTGACCACTGACAGGCACCCAGGAGCCTGGACTTCAAGCTCCCAGGAGAGGCTCTGGTTCACAGGGCAGAGGCCTGCATCTAGATTGTAGAGCTGTGTTGTTTGTCCTACATGAAAAACCAAAACAAATTAAAGAAAAACTTTCATCTTCTGGCAGGGTTCGTGCTTACAGTTTGCCAGTCTCCACCTCATCTGTCATAGGAGACGGCCACTCGAGATATAGTCTAGCAGACCCAGGCATCTGAGTTTGTGGCCCCTGCTTTGTGACTTTGTTTTCAGAGCTGTCCTCATAGTAATCTCCATGCTTTCCAGTTAGTTCGCTTTTCAGGGCTTCTGTCTTCTCTCCCTGCAGTAGTCACAGCTCACCAGCCTCCTCCTGGCCCCACAACCCCACTACCTCCGAAAGCCTCTTCTCTTGCTTAACTTGACAGGGCCCCTTCCCGAGCATGCATTAGGCAACCACAGCCCTCTGAGTGAGCACTTTGGTCCCCGCAAGGTGCTCATTCTGCTGCAGGGCAGCTGGGCGACAGGGGGAAGAGACCATTCCCAAGCCCTAAACACACATACTGAGTACACTATGCAAACACATGTTCCTCGCCCAAATGCCCCATGTCAATTGGGACAGTGACTTTCAGCCAGCGGTGTGCAGGGGCCAGTTTACACCAGTTCTGGAGAGGCAACTGTTAACACAAGTAGGAATGTTACCTTGAGATCAGCCAAGGTAGAAGTATTTGCACCTAGGAAATTAGCAACTGTTGCAAACAATGCTTAAGGGTGAAGTGGCCCGGGGAAGCCAGCAGATGAGCAAACCCTGCTGCCTTTGGTCCCACCCAACTCTTCCTTCTGACTAGAAATGCTCAGCTTCCTCTGTATCCCACTCAGACGCTTCGACCTTCTCTTCGGGGTCTATACAATGTGTCAATACAAACTACTATAGCAGCCTCTGTACATAAAGTCTTCCACAAGGAGCTGGGCTGTCGCTCAGTGTAATGCACTTGCTTAGCATGCAAAGCCCCGGATTCTATCCTCAGCAATGGGGGGGGGGGGGGACAGAAAAATGTCCTTCACAAATATTAGCTCTTACTAAAACTAAAATATCATTTAGGAATTTTTTGTTTCAGCTATGTGGTTAAAAGATGCAAATATCTACTACTCAGTCAAATGAGTACATAATCAGAATTAGAGCAGGTCTCTCTGTATTTACTTTTAATAAGTTCTAGTCTTTTTAAAAACAGGCTTCGGGTTTTAAGAGTCACTGTATTTTTCACATTTTGATGGCTCAGGATGAGTGTTTCAGGTGAGGCAGCTGTGTGTCTTTTGACCCAAGAAGTTATAAAATTGGTAGTGCATCTTACAATCACTAGTGTCTTAGAACCCGGAAGCACAGTAATGGCAGTGGCAGAGTCCGTAGAGGACCCAGGCCTCACGGCCAGTGTTCTATCCCCGAGATCATGGTTTACTGGGGAAGGGTTCTGTCTTGTGTGTGGCTACTGAGCAAACCCCTCTCTTCCTACAGGCTCCGTGTTAGTGGAGACTTTGCCCAGGACTGGAGTTTTTGTTTGTTTTGTTTTATTTTATTTTTATTTGCCATGCTGGGGAGTCAAACCCTGGACCTTGCACATGCCGGGCCAGTGCTCTACTGCTGAGCTCTGTCTGCCATCAGGCGCTAGACATTTTTTAAGTATGCAAAGATCACCCTCATTTTTCAGTTAAAAGCACAGTAATTCGTCATCTGGGCTAAAGTGTGACCACCAGAGAGGAAGGTGGTAAAACAGCAAAAGTGAAAACCGGAACCAATTTCAAAAAACTAGCAGCACAGGGAACCGCACACGCACGCATGCGCAGCGGGGCACGCAGCCCGCGCTGCCATTCCGTTCTGAGTCAGCCCTTCCCGGTTCCACATCGCTGGCCCACACTTCACACTTTCGCTACAGGCAGGTCTCAGTTTCTCCCACCCGGTTTCTTGCCTGAGTAGCTTGTAGAGGTGATGGGAGGAGAAATCTCTACAGGCCCGAAGTGGCTCTGCAAGGAAGGGACGGGAGAGCACTTCTGGCCATGGCAACTTCCGGGATGGGAGGGCGGAGAGGGCCCGCCCCTTGCCGGTCACCCTGACACCCATGTGTCACCTGGGACACAGGAAACGCGCCTGACACGGGACCCTGAGCTGCTGCCCCTCGGCCCACTGCCGGTGTGAGGACGCTCCTGACTGGGTCGGAGGCCAAGTAGCATGGGGTCCCTAGGGGGCAGCAGCTGAGCAAAAGCCCCAGCAGGGACCTCTGGTGGAAGCCAGTCTGTCCTCCACCAATTCATAGCCTCTGTTGTCCGTGCTTTGTTCTCCCCTGTAGGCACTGGTCGCCCCATTCCCAGTAACACCGCACAGGTCAGCCTCCCGTCCCAGGCTTAGTCCCTTGCACAACTGGGCCTGGCTGCCCTCCCTTCTCCCCTCCCTCTTTGCTGCAGGCAGAAGAGCAGAATAGCCTCAGGCAAAGGAGACTTGCAGTCCAGCAGTGGGAAGGCTAGCAGGCCGTCTCACCCCACCCTGCACTGTCCCTCCCAGCTCACTGGCACAGCAGCCCAGATGTTGCTCCCACCCAACCTGAAGTCACCCTCCCAGCCATCACCAGGTGCAGCTCCTCCAACCTGCACCTCCAGAACTGGAGGGCAAAATAACACTCTTTTCTTTATAAAGAAGCTTGCATTGGGTATTTCATGATAGCACTAAAACATGGAGTAATACAGGGGGTGAGAAACACTAATGGGGGCCACCTCTGCCAGAACCAGGGCACCTTTGGCTCACTGCCCTGTTTAGAACCCTCTGTAAGCTAAGACTGTCCCCACCTGTGCAACAAAGAATGTAACCTTGCCCCTGTAGAGGCCCAGCCTTAACCCTGAGCTTGCATGAAGCTAGGAACAAGGTGATGAAGGGTGGGGTGGCCATCAGCATGATTTAGGGTGGAGCTTCGAGCCACAGGATGCGGAACCAGGAGCTTCCCTTTTGGCCATACTCAGTACACCCCTATGTACCAATGCTAAGAAAGTAACATGCCCACAAAGGAGCACAGAAGCTCCAGTTTGGGAACTTCTCGGACCCCACTCTGTGCTCCTTCCTCTGGCTGATTTTTGTTGTTCCCACAGCACAACCTGCATATTCCAAATAGTCATGAAGATCAGTATTCTTCCAGCACCTTACCATAAATTGTCTTTGAATAACAGCATCCTTCTAGAGCTTGAAGGTCTGTGAGATGCAGTCAGACAGTTCACTACTGTGGAAAATGAAGGCTGCCTGATGGGAAGAAAGGGACTGTGGTTTTTCTTTTTGATTAATTGCTGTAACGCTGTCCTTCAGGCAGCTGAGGGAGTTTCATATTTTCTTTAGGCATCGTTAAGCACCAAAGCTCTTCTACAACAACCTGGCTGCTCTGTGAATCCTGCCATTTGCCTTACACTGGTAATGGCTCTTAGGTCCACCACTCCATTGAAGCTGTTCATTCATTCATATTAATTTTTGTTGCAAATACTACAAGGGGGTGCTTCTGGGTATTCAATATGCATTCTCCTATAAGGTTGTGTATTTGGTTTTCTTAAATTTCTCTTGGAAGCCAAATTTATCTGTCCATCTTACATCTTATTCTCATCTACTCCCAGACTCCAGCTAACTGTGCTCCACTTCTTTCTGGCCTTCTTAAGAGTTCTTCCGACTGTTGAAAATTGTGAGGAACTCTTACCCAAGAGCCCAGTGTAGCTGCCATAACTTTAATTTATGTCCTTTCCCTGTAATAAATGGTAGTCATCGTAGAAAAGCCCTTAGTGAGGTTACTGAGTCTGCTCGTGAATTATTGAGCCTTGAGTTTTGGGGCCCTGCAGACTGTGATGGGAGTCAGAAGTGAGGGTGGTCTTGTGTGAAAGGTCCCCTTTATACTTGTCAGCTTTCCTGACCTCCTCACTGCCCCCCACCAAGGGTCCCACCTGCAATGGGATCTGAGCCCACTCCTCATTTGGTTCCTACTATTTTGTCCTCAGCAGACATTTCTTCAACATATCTCATTAGTTTTTTGCTTGTTTTGTTTGGAGGATTTATATTATTATTATCATTATTATTATTATTTGTATTGGGGCTTGTAGTTAGGGAACACTGAACTACATCCTTAGCCCTTTTTATTTTGAGACAAGTTCTTGTTAAGTTGCCCAGGCTGGAACATGCCATCCTCCTGCCTCAGCCTTTCCAATAGCTGGAATTACAGGTGTGTACCACCACACCTGGTTTCAGTGAAATTTCTTTTCTTTTCTTTTGGGTACCAGGGATCGAACTCATGACCACCTGCTTGTCAGGCAGGTGCTGATGCCACTGAGCTAAATCTCGGGCTAAAATCTCTTTTATATCTCACCACAATATGGCAGTGGGTTTGAAGAAATGTGGGTGATCTTTGATTCTCCAAAAGTACAGAGTTCTGGTTCCAAGGACACTTGCTAAATGAAACTCTCAGGGCTGGAGTTTGGTGGGTTTAACTTAAGCTTTCAAAAAGAAAAAAAGGAAGGTCAGCACGCCCTTTTTGCACCTGCCATTTTGTAAAATATTGTTAGCTCAAAGTGGCAGATTCTGGCATATTCCAGGGTATCATATTCTGCCAATCTGCTGAGCACATTCTCCTCACAAACACCTTGTTTATTAACTTCTACCACCAAGGTAGGCGCAATAGTGCATTTGAAATAGGCAGTGTCAAAAACATAATTAAAGCAAATTAAATTTCTTAACTTGATTTTATTTGCAGTTCTAAAACCAGGCACTATCTCAGTGTTTAGAACAGAATGAGTGTTCCCATGAGTTGAGCAGAGGCTGGCTTTATGGGCAGAAAAAGGCTGAGTGAAGCAGAGATGAAAGTGGATGGCTTGTTTCCAAGCTACTTTCCTTCTGGGGTGAAGACAGAAGGGATTTCCTTGTCTCGCTAGCACAGGTAAGCTGCACCCCTTTAGGCTGCTTGCTGTGAATCTCTGTTTGTTGTCTGTTTCTTTCATTTTTTTATTCAAACTGGTCCCTTTGTGAGTTCCATTGTTTTGTTTTGGGTACCTCACTTGAGCCACTCAGCTCTAGTTTGGTCTCACCTGCTATGGCCTGAAACAAGATCTGTACAGTTAACAGCACGAGTTCTCTAA